TACCTCAGGTATTTCACTATCTCTAGTTTTTTGTGTGAGTGGAGATTAATTGTGTTTCGTGTGTCAGTTTTTGTACGAAGCTGGTTATGGCTCTCCATTGTACAAGGATCGCTGTGGCATCATCGGGATCACACAGCCCAGGCGAATTGCGGTCCTGACAACAGCGAAGCGCGTGGCACACGAGCTCAACCTCCAACTAGGCAAAGAAGTTGGATTTCAAGTTAGGCATGACAGGAAAATTGGAGAGAAAAGCTCTATCAAGTTTATGACGGATGGTATTCTTCTCAGAGAAATCCAGGTAAAGCATGGCTTCTACGAAGCGACTCAAACATCTTTTAGTCAGATTTTTTGTTGACAAAGTACTCCGTGATTGTGCTGGACGAAGCACACGAAAGAAGTGTCAACACCGACATTCTCGTTGGAATGCTATCTAGAGTTCTACCTCTGCGAAATGTAAGTTTCTATATTCCCTAGATGCTGATTCTATTAATCTTTTAAAATTTTCTAGAGGCTGTATTTTCAAAACAAAAGGTCCGAGGCCGTCACCCCTCTGAAACTGATCATAATGAGTGCAACTCTTCGGGTTGAGGACTTCACGGCAAACCAAAAGATGTTTCGTCTTCCACCGCCGGTGATTCACGTAACAGCGAGACAGTTCCCCGTCACGGTTCATTCCAGTAGAAAGACGGAGCTTCAGGATTACGAAAGTGCAGCATATCGGAAAGTCTGTGCCATCCACAGGAAGCTCCCGCCGGGCGGGATATTAGTTTTTGTCACTGGCCGGCGTGAAGTGGAAGCTCTGTGCAAGAGGCTGAGACTGTCGTTTACACCTTCAAGCAAGCTAGAGTCTTCAGATGGGAAGCCAGTTGCTAAACGAGAGGATTCAGCGCTTTTGTCAGGGACTGAATGTGGAGCTTTGGACATGAGATCAGTGGCAGACGCTGTTGATGAAGAGGATGATGATTCTTCGGACTGGGAAGAAGATGTTGACGGATTTACAGGCGAAAATGATAGCAGCAGCAGTGGCGTGTCAGACGTCGAAGACACAGATAAAACGCCAGGTAATGAAACCAGCAACATGGATCACGTCAGAAAACCGGGTCCAGCGCTCGTCCTTCCGCTTTATGCTATGCTGCCAGCTGAGGCACAGCTACGAGTTTTTGCTGCCGTTCCAGAAGGGAAAAGGCTCATTGTTGTCGCCACAAATGTAGCCGAGACATCTATCACCATACCTGGCATACGTTACGTGGTCGACTGTGGTCGTGCAAAAGAGAGGAAGTTCGATGGCTCCAGCGGAGTGTCCAGGTTTGAAGTCGGCTGGATCAGCAAGGCGTCAGCGGACCAACGTGCTGGAAGAGCTGGTCGAACTGGTCCGGGACATTGTTATCAGCTCTATTCTAAGACGCACTACCACCACAACTTTCCGGACTTCGCTCCTCCAGAGATCAGTTTGGTTCCAATCGAGGGGGTAGTACTTGTGTTGAAGTGCATGGGCATCGACAAGGTATCATTTTCTTCGTTTTGCTGTTCCTCTCACTGAGGTTCTCGTTGTGTTCCAGGTAATGAACTTTCCTTTCCCCACGCCACCTGAGAAGGGAGCGTTGTTAGAGGCAGAAAAATGTCTGACAGCATTATCAGCTCTGGATCGAACGACGGGTTTGCCGACATCAATCGGAAAAGCAATGGCACTATATCCCATCAATCCTCGGCATGCACGGATGGTGATAGCGGCGCTACAGTCTGCCCGCGTTATGGGTGGCAAGTCCAGAAAGTCGGTGATAGCCGCTTGTGCAGTGGCAATCGCAGCTGCGCTAAGCGTGGAGAATCCGTTTTTCAGTCTCGAAGAGTCATCCAAAGACGAGAAAGACGCTGCTACAACGCCGAGCGGAGAAGCCGTGAAAGCAACAAAGAAACCCGAGCGTCACCGATTTAAAAACACCTCGAGCGACGCATTGACGATCATGAACGCGCTCCGGGCCTACGAAGAATCAAGCAACCAGGCCGAGTTTTGCACGGCCAGCCATCTCAATCAGAAGATCATGAAGGAGATGTCCAAGCTGAGGGGCCAGCTTTCGAGACTAGTTCGTCAACAGCTACTCGAGGATCTTTTGATTGGCTCCGGCCTGGAAGAAGGCTGGAAGCAGCTAAGCCGGAAGAAACTCAGCACCAACGAAGAGAAGGCGCTCATCTATGCACTCTGCGCGGGGTGGCCGGACAGAGTTGCAAGAAGAGTAACTCGTCGCGACAGGCTCGACACGGCCAAGTCACGCAAGAGAGGAATTCGTTACCAGGCCTCGTCGCTCCACGGACAAGAGGATGGGGGAGACGAAGAGGGAGATGGACGCAGCATCGTCTACCTCGGCCCGTCCTCGTCAACGTTTAGCTTCGCGTCGGACTTCGTCGTCTACAAGGAGATCGTGGAGACTTCCAGGCCTTACATGGCGTGCGTCTCGTCCATCGACGCACACGCTCTGGTGACCGAGGCCAGCTTCTTCTGCTCCTTCTCCAGGCCGCTCGACGATCCTCCGCCGTGGTATGACCGAGAAGCCGACCAAGTCAAGTGCTGGGTGTCCGCGACTTTTGGCCCCCACAACTGGCAGCTACCATTGCACGCCATGGAACTCCCGGCGGGGAGGAAGACGGTGGCGGTGTTTGCGTCGGCGTTGCTGGAGGGCCGAGTGCTGGCGAGCTTGGCTCCTCTGCGACAATATCTCGCTGCCGATCCGGCGATGCTGCTCAAGCCGGAGGCGATGGCGCACAAGAGGGTGGCGGAGCTGGTTTACAAGCTGGAGGAAGGATGGAAAACGGTGGTGGATAGCAGGAGAAAGCTTGCCGAGGCCTGGGACGATGGGGAGTTTTTGGTGGAAGAGATCGCGGCGTGGATCCAACGCAAGCACCAAGGGCTGCTCAGGACGCTCCGAGAGGCTGTCAAGTCCGAGCTAGATCTTCGAGGGACAGTTTAAGCTTAACTTATAAACAAACTAAAACGTTTAGCATAAAGTTCACATTAAATCATTGGATATACTGTAAGAGATTCGAGCCCACTGTCCACTTATTTTTAGGGCAATTCTTCCCAAAGTGATGAAACAAAAAATGGAGCCAACCGTGCATTGTGTCCGTTAAGGGTTTTCTCCAGCCCCCGAGTTCTAGGGTTTTTCCGAGCGAGGGCGATCGATCGCGGCCGCGACGCATTCCAGGTTTGATTTGCATTCCTTCTCTGTCGCTGCTGATCCCGAGAGAGCATGGGAATCAGTTGCGCGGCGGCGTGACAAGACGAGCGCCGGCGGCGGCTTGAATGAACCCGGCATGGGTTCAGAACCGCTCGCCTATTTCTCATCATCTCACTCCCTCTCAGCTGTGCGCGAAGAATTCCTGGGCTCCACTCATGACTCACACCCGCGCAGCACTGTGCAAGGCGTTGTCGTCCATGACGATTAGTTCCGGCAAGAGGAGCTTGCAAGAACAAGTTGTAGCTCCTGGATCGAGGTGCGATGATTTCTTCCTGTTATGGGAAGATTAAAGTTTTGTTCTTTCCATCGTTGTTTGATACAGGTCTACTGCCACTGCCGCTTCTCAAATGGATAGTAGCGAAACAAAGCTGGGAGCTACTGTTGCTTCGCGAGTCCCACAGATTGTCATTGGGAACCCCGAAGAGCTGGAGAGGAAAAAGCGTGCTATTAAAGCTGCTGGATTGTCTTCCTTGCAGGTCTGACTTGTAGAACATTATTATTCTATAAATTATTTCCTTGTCTACCAGGTCATTGCAGACTTCGACATGACCTTGACAAAATACATGGTCAATGGTACAAGAGGCCAAAGTAAGTGTTTTTTCCCCTTACTTTCGACCCCTTTTGCTTAGTTTTTTTTATTTACAAAATAAAAACAGGTACTCACGCGCTCTTGAACCAAGGAAACGCTGAATATGATTTAAAGCGTCAGCAGCTATTCGATCACTATTATCCTCTCGAGACATGTCCAACAATTCCTGTTGAACAGAAGACCAAACTTATGGAAGAGTGGTAAGTACTTGCGACGCAGTAGTATTGTTTATCTGATAGATATTCCCGTTTCAGGTGGGGAAAGACGCATAACCTTCTTGTAGAAGGCGGTCTTACCTTCAAAGCTATTCAAACCTCGGTGGCTAATGCTGTTATTGGTTTCCGGAGTGGCGTTGTCGAACTTCTTGAGATTTTAGAGGTAAAATCTTTCTATAGTTTTGTTGCCACTTACATTAGATACCTTAGGCCAAGAGCGTCCCCGTTTTGATATTTTCTGCTGGTTTAGCTGATATCATCGAAGAGGTTATGCGGCAAAAGCTTCATCGTTCTTTCAAAAACATCCGTGTCGTATCAAATCGCATGAACTTTGATGGTGATGGCAATCTCCTGGGTTTCAAAGGTAGCGAGCTAGCTATCTACATTCGTACTGAAGTGCTTTGCGATCAACAGGGAAGCTGATACACGTTCTGAACAAGAACGAGCATTCCCTAGAGATGGCTGCTCCACTACATGACGATCAGGGCCACGAAGTCGTCAACAATGCCAAGAACGGGTACTCTCTTGTGCGAGACCGCAGGAACGTGATACTTCTGGGCGATCACATTGGAGACCTCGGAATGTCGGATGGAGTTGACTATGACAACCGTATTACCATAGGATTCCTGTAAGTATTTCATCTATCTCACGGTGAAGGACGAAAACGTTTTCGTTCTTTTGCAGCAACGAGAACATAAACAGTTGGCTAAGCACCTACACAACCGCGTTTGATATCGTTGTTCTGGTAAGAACACTCTCTCTAAGTCTAGGCAAAACTTCGTGTTCTTCTGCTAACTCTTTTGGCGCCCCGCAGAACGACGGAGCGATGACGAGCGTCGTAGATCTCATTCAAGAACTGTCCCGGTAGCCGACGTTACAGCGTCACAACCGGTTGAAGCATCCGTCGTAAAACTTCCCAGAATCCAGGTACCTAAGCAAACCTTGAATAAATCTTTCTCTCTCCTCTTAGATTGCAACTTTAGCACGCTTGGTTCTCGTTCGTGGCGGCTTACCGAGCGTCCACTTCTTGTTGCAGGGCACGCACTTATACCTTATCTGGTCCTTGCGATAGTTATTGAAGTCGTAGAACCTCGTGCGCCAAAACTCGTCACACCTCGGGCACAAAGCGTGATCCGGCAGAGTCTCTCGGATTCTCCTGAGCTCCTCCCGTTCCTCGGGAGAGATCTTGGAGGTGGCGTTCTTCCTCGCCTCGGCTTTGGGCTCGTCAACTCTTTTGGAGGCGGGCCTGGAAATCCTCTTGGGCTTCTCGGCTTTGGTCTTCCTCGGCGCGGCAACACTTTTGGAGGTGGGCCTGGATTTTCTCTTGGGCTTGGGCTTCGTGGGCTTTTCTTCCTCTTCGTCGTCCTGTTCCAGATCCATACAGGCGAATCTAAGAGGCCGCCTGGTAGCTCTCTTGGAGATTACTGGCTTGGGCTCCTCGAGCGCCTGGGGATCCCAGGGAGGGCAGCTCAAACCCGCCCATGGATCACCATCATCGACTTGCAGCCTAGTAAACTTGCCTTGATCTTCGTTGAGATCGTCCAGCGCGAGATCATTCATCGCGAGATCATCCACCATGAAATCGCAAGAGAACACATCCATACTCATGCCGCAAACGAGCAACCCCAACAGTATATTCTCTTTCAGGGTGGCGTAGGGTTAAAGAAACACTTAAACCTCGTACATCGAATATTCTAAGAGTCTAATTAGGGTAAACACTTATAGACGTTATTTTAGGGTTCTTGGCCATGGCGAGAGGCTACCTGGTCGCGTACAATGTAGCGCAGGCGGGAGGCTGGTGAGCGCAGCGCTGTGTTTTCCTTGCTAAATTTCATGGGATTCTAGGGCTTTGCTACTCGCGCGGCTGCTCTTGGCGCCAGGAAAGGTGAAAACGGGAGAAATTCGCCTCGCATGTAAAACTTTCTGTCGAAATTTCGGCTCTCGATTCCATTTCTCAATGCCTACGTTTCTGGCTGTGAAGATTTCCTCCAGTTCTTCGCGTTGTTAGAAGTGATACATTCTTTGCTCGGTGAGAAATTTGTTTTTTCCCCGTTAAATACTCGAAAATCTTCTTGTAACTTTTACAGGCCTTGTTCGGAGTGGAACTCTCACAGCGTTGCTGCAATGGGGTGGGAGATTTCACGTCATCGCTGCAGTCGTGGCTCCAATCGAAGAAGTAAATGAATTCTGTCTGATCGTAGAGAAACGAACGCTTTAATCTCTTTCCTTTCGTGTCAGATCCAAAACAGCCCCTGCCTCGTCACATTGCTTGGAGCTTGGTCGCTTTCGGAGGTTCGCACTTTCTCTCTTCACTAGTCCTGCAAAAATCCCTTTCAGGTGATACGATATCCACAATACGTGGCTAGCATTCTTGGAACGTGTCCACCATGGCTAACTTGGGCGAGGCAAGAAAAGCTTCACTCACTAACTGGCGAAACTCTATAAAAACTTTTTCTCTTACAGATATTCTGGTTTCATTGTGCTCTATCCAATTGGGTTCTTCTCTGAAAGTAAGTTCGGAAACCAGCCTATCCCACTTTTTCGTTTCTTTTATTCTTGATTTTGTTTGCAGTGCATTTGATGTATTCTGCCTTGCCCTTCATCCGCAAGGAAAACATGTACTCAAGTTTCTTCAGATGGGCTCCATTCGGCTATCACGGCTTTATAATGGCAAGAGCCAGCAATTCCAGTTTTCAGTTATTTTATCTTTGTTTCTTTGTGTTCTTCGCTTTTATCACAGGCTTTGCTAGTCATATATCCCGGCTTTGCGTTGTTCCTCTACGCACACATGCTTTCACAGCGACGGGCAAAGCTACGACTTACACCAGAAAGAAAAAGGTAGAAAACAACTAAAACTTTTTCAATACTGACCAATTGTTTCACAGAGAATAGCGACTTTTTACAGAGCCAATCCAATCGATCCAGCGGCTTTAAAAAATGTAATACATGGGATTCGGCAGCTTGAAGGTTCTGTTTCCAGCGGCGGGACCAATCAAGTCACTCCACTGGTCGCCAATACTGGCACGTATACGGTATCCCTTTCTCTCGAGGTGCATCCTTCTACTCGACTTATAATTTACTGCTGTGGTTCCAACTTCGTTCTGGAATCTAGACGTAAAGAGAAGCAAACCAAAATACCAAACAGATCGTGAGAGTCAAGCGCAAAACGAGAAAGCTTACCTTAGATTCAAAGACATCCAGTCGGAGAAGCCGGCTTTGAAGAGATTCTCCGCGGTCTTGTTTCGTTGCTGCTCGGGCCTCCCGGTAATGAAGATCATGGACCAGTTCGCGTCCACCATCTGGCGATACAGAGAAAGCATCGATCTTAGAGGCGGGGCTCTGGCCTGTTCCACCCATTCGTTCCACGCGGTCACGTTATATTGCTCTACACTGCCATGAAGAAGCTTTGGATCAAGAGAGAGGATCGAACGAAGAATGGTTTTTTTACCCGAATTGATGCTCGGTGTAGTATGGAACGTTGGAGAGCACAGTGTCATCGATGTCCAGGACAATGGCGTCCAAACCATCGCCACCAGGAGCGATGGCCTCCAAGTAGCTCCTGGCAGCGCCCACGGCCGCTTCGACATCCAGGAGGTACTGCCCATTGACCATGTAATTCCCGACGTAGCTGGAGCACTCCCTGGGGAGGAGCCAGCCCTGGAGGTTATTCATCTCCGCGTTGAGCCGGAAGCTCTCGCAGGGATTCCCACGGGCTTCTTCCTGACGACAAGGAGGAGCCCGGATCATCTCGCCCCATGATCCGTGGAGTAGCATCGGCTGGCTCTGGCACGACCCCAGCATCACCGAGAGCGTGACGACGAGCGTGAAGAGGAGGATGCCGATGGTGGCCACCGAGGAGAGGAGGATTGTGACGGCGAGCGAGGAGAGATAGATGCCCGCGTCGTCGATCTGGACGTATCTGTTGCCAAATTCTGGAAAAAAAAAAGAGAGGTGAGATTACCGCGCTCCAGGAGCTCCTGGATGGGATCTTTATTGGGATTTTGGCCAAATACCTGATCCTCGCCGGCTGAGCAGCGATTGCGTCGACTCGGATGCTTCCAATCGCTGGCCGTATGACGACATTGGAGGGCCAGAATCAGCGTCATTCATAAATCCAGAGCTGAAATTGCTTGTGGGAGAGAATGCGGCTCGACAGAGATCGATCGAGCGCGCCGAGAATTCTCTTCCTCCACGCTTGCCTAGAACCCTAGCTCCTTTGAGTTGATGGCTTATCTTTTCACGAAAATCGCCGTGGAGTGATCGCAACCGTTGAATTCTAAGACTTTTAACGGGTATCCAACGCTTAATTTTAAAAAATCCATTCACAGGAGAGGAATTTAGGGTTCTTGGGCAGGGGGAATCAATCACTGTGAGGAATCGCATTGCGATGGCGCCCATCCAATCTTGCTGCTCCCGATATCGTACATCACGCGGAAGTTTTGCTGCATCATATTTCCATAGATCCCGATGTCCATGTTGGAGCTCACCATCGCCAGGCACACAATCGTCCCGGCATCGTTGGCGGCGATGAAGTAGTTCTCCACGGGCAGCTGGTGATCCGCGCCCTCGAAGTGGAACACCATCGCCGGGATCTTCTTCTTGTAGCTCGCCTTGGATCCCGAGACATCGTAGCACAGGTCAAGCCCCGCGGAGGATCCATCGATCTCAGGGAAGGAAACCTTGGATCGCAGCGCCCGGAGCACGATCTGGTAAGGCGCATCTGGCAGGAGCGTCAGGGTCGTCCCGGAATCGAAGATCATCCCGCCGCTTCCATCGGGTTTGATGTCGAAGGATCCCGCTGGGATTCGCAGCGCCCGCCCAGCGATGCTGATGTCCTTGAGCTTGACGTAGTAGAAGCTCTCCATGGCCGGGTTGTGGATCATAGGAGTGAAAGCGTAGTGGAGTTTCTTCCCGGAGGAGTGGGAGGAGCTTTCATCGCCGAAGAACATTGGGCTGGTTTTGCTGGGGGCGTCTCGCCATGGAACCAAGCAGTAGGAGAATTTGTGGCCGAAGAGATCGCCCAGCTGGGAGACGAACGAGAGATTGCCCCGGCCAAGACCCACGAGGCCAGAGGCGTCATTGAAGCTCCCGCGATTGAGATGGCCGCAGCCGAAGGCGATGTTCTTGGCGGCCAGCTTCTCTCCCTGGGTGCTCGTCAAGGTGACGGTCTCGGACGACAGCGTTCCTCGGGTTCCAGAGCCATCGCCATAGCCGTACGAGTAGTCGCAGTTCGGGGAGCACGACTTCCTCGGCAAGGAATCGCAGAGGGTGTCTCCGCAGGACATGGTGGTGTAGGATGACGAGCCTTCCGGATCGAAGATTGGATCCTTCTGGTTGAAGCACGCCTGGCACGGCTTGCACTGGATCCATATCAGATCGCTGCCGGTGTCCGCGATCACGGAGAACACCTTGGCTGGAGTGCCCAGGGAGATCGTCGTGACGTAGTCACCACCGCCGGAGGCGACGGGGCTCTCGTAGTCGGTGCTCACGGACGGCGGGTATGGAACCTCGCTGGTGATGAGAGACGAGGCGGCGAGCTTGCTCCTCAGCGCCTGGACCATCCGGTTTGCCCGAAAGGTGGTCTTCTTCGCCATGCACGACAGCTTGTGGAGAAGCGGATCCCCCAAACCTGAGCCCGCGAGATCGTTGCACGAGACGTTGCGCATTGTGAGGTCCATTCTCAAGACCGGGGAGGGCGAGACGAAGCTGGACAGGAGGCTGACTAGGAGAAATGCTAGACGAAAGAACGCTGGAGCCATGGAGGATGATTGATCTATAGAGACAGTGGTCAGAGGATCGATTACTTGTTCTTGGCAAGGACGAGGACGAAGTGGAGCGAGTGAAAGAGGAAGCAGGCGAGCATCAAAGGGACCATCTTTTGGTAAGAACTTGATGCTCAGTTTTATTTTATAGCAGCGGAGGAGGATTGCTTGGCTTGTGGATAAGAGTTGCGTGGAAGGAATGCTCCTCAGGAAGGGGTGTTGTTGGAAGAATAGGTCGCAAAATATAGGAGAAGCAAAGGACGTAAGGCAACTGAAAATCCCGGGAAGCAAGCAATCTATTTGGTTATATTTCAACATGGTTAAAATGTTTCAAATTTAACTTTTAAGAATAGTATCAAACACATGATGCATTGCAAAATACAAAACTGCCTTGAAAAAACAGATTCAGAAATTTTATTTTCTAACGAAACTTTAGTTAACGGTTTAGTGCTTAATGTTGTTTGATATATAAAATACAAAAATAAATTACAATTATTTTTCATTACTAAATTTGCATTTTCATGACAATGTTTATATTTACAATATGTATTTGAATGCCAAACAACACTTTTATCATAAGAATATAAAACTAAATTTCCATCTTCTTGTAGTCTTAAAATGCATTTGAAGCCTTTATTTGATAATTTTGTTGACCAAAAAAATTTTATTTAGTGAATAAACTATTAAATTACAATAAATATCTAGATATAAATGTGCCTTTTTATTTAAGGAGATTAAAGATTGTGATTGAAATACATATTGATGGGGCATATTAGTATAACCACTTATTAAGGCATATGTAAAAATGTCACATCCAATATTTATATTTATATATGTTTTTATATCTATATTTTGATTAACATTTTGACAATTATAGTTTCTAACAAAATAGTAAACAATAAAATGATTTGTTTTATTAATTATATATGAAGCAGCTGAATTTAATATATGACAAGCAGAACCTCCTAAAATTTCATATAATGAACTTCTCATAATAAGTCCTCCATTTGAATTACCATCATTGTCTACATGACAAATTTGAAAAACTGTATTTAAAGCATAAATACCAAATGAGATAATATCAGAAATATCTTTTGACCAAAAGGAATTATATTGTCTGGTATTTTACTAATTTCTTTTTAAATATTAATTATAATATTTTTTGCTACTTCTTTAGTTAAAGCATTAAGCTGGCCTATTTCATATTCAATATCTTCAGAAAAAATGCATGTAAATGTTAAAAATATCAAAGTAGGTAATACAAACCTTGCAATCATTATGTTTTATCACTTTTAGCCCCTATAATATGAAAAATATAAAGGAATTAACTTAATATCGTTCTCTCTCTATTATATATTATATGTATATTTAACATATTTATATTTAAATAAATACTTAAAATAATTATTTAATTCTGAGTTTCAAGAATAGTAAATCTTCTTCCTATAGATAATAATAATATGTATATATGTGAGGACAAGTGTAAGATAGCAATGCTACTGCAAATATGACTTCCATTTGTAAGCTTTCTAAAATACATCCTATGCTCTCTTTTATTTACAAAGTCACTATGTGGTGTTGCACACTGACTGGAGCAAGGTAGACAGAATCATGTAACGTAAAGTTTAATGATCAAAGCTTTCAAGATTTGTTCCATCTTTAATGAAGACTTATCAAAGTATAGAAAGCTAAATAATAAACTATTTCATGCATTAAAATTATATTGTAAAATCATAAATTTTACAAGTCTTTGGTATAATTATATCATAATCCTAGATTTTATACCATTACCATATGTTAGTGTTCTTCATCACATTTTTATCCTTCTTGTATATCTTACTCTAATGTCAATCTCCCAATGTGTTGTTATCTATCTTTTGAGGGAGGGAGGTGATTATAAAATTATTCTTATTCTACTATAATTATAACATCAATTAGAGAAACATTAAACTAAACTATAGTACATCCTTTAATATCACTTTTTAAATCCCTACCAAATCCTTCTTCAATCACAATAGTGATCACTAACACTGCCATTGGGTTAAAATCTAAAGGTCTATCCACTAAATCCTACTAACTTTTAAGACTTCTTCATCATGCAGCCACATCTTAATCAAGAGAACAACTTTTTTTTTCCATAATCAAGGATTTTGGAATAAGATTTTGAATATTGCAATTTAGTATAAGCCTTAAAGGTACTCTCCCCAACTTCAACCACCAAAGTGCCCTAGCTATTTGGCTAGAACAAAGTTTCAATAAGCCATATTAAGTATTCAAATAAGTTGTGCCACCTATACTTGGATTGGGAGAATTGACAATTTAATCTCCCAAAGTAATTAGAATTATCTTTTGAACACTTTATCAAGTCACCATTTATCTATTTCTATTCATTTTAGCTTTGAACTTTTTAATATTCATATCATCACCCACCACATAAATATGCCTTCTTTGCACTAGTTCCCTTAAAATCCTTCCCTTCATTATTCTAGAAGGACTTACTAAATCCCTCAGGGTTTGTAAAATGCACTTAAATATGTTTAGCCCCAATATGTTTGGCCCCAAATATATTGGGCCTTCAATATGTTTTGCATTCACTTGGATTTTTGGTGGGGTGAGATGGTTTTGACATTTCTCCATTTTGAGTTATTGGGTTCTAAAACTTTGGTCTTGACACTACCATGTTTTATAATACTTGCCACATGTTAAAAATTTATTTTATCATTTTCTAAAGACTCACTTATCAGCTACTTTGTGCTCATTTCTCAATTGCTTCATACTTATTCCTCAAATGTTTTTAAAGTTATTTTTGACTTTTTGAGTTAGAGTTTTTAGTTCAAATATGTTATGTTTGTTATGTTAGATTAGAAAGGTATGAATTTTAGAGAATTGTAAGTACTTAAGGAGTACAACTTAAAAAATAATTCATTATGTCAGATATAAAAAGAAAATATTTATAAATAAAATTACACCTCCTTTCTTAATCAATTAAAGGTTTTCAGATATATGTAACTAATTGTCTTTGAGTAAAAGTTTGAGTAAAGGTTTGAGCAATACTAGGATGGGTGACTTCCTAAGAACTTTTAATTTAAAAATTTATATAATAGTTTATATAATTTAATGAATATAATGCTTTAAATTTAAAAAGAACACTTTATAATTAAACTCAATGTTTTTCTCAAGAGTTCTTAAAACAAAAATAATAAATACTTAGTTGAAAGAAGAAAAAACAATATACTTAAAAGCATTGCATTTGAAAGAAAAATTAAATGTGCTAGCATTAAGTAACAATATTATTACCATGAGTGTAAAATTTATAGTTTTGAAATTGTAAATAAGAAGGTGAATTCAAATTCTTAACTTTAAATCCATCACTATATAATATCAAAATATAAATTATGAATTTTATAATACTATTAATATAAAATATAGGGAAAGAAGACAAACCTCATAGAAAGTCAATTCCATATTATTAATTAAATAGTTTTATACTAAATGTTTTTTACTTTATTAATGCTATTTATTAGAGTTAGACTTCTCTTATTTATGATGTAGTTTTAGATTTTTGTTTTTCAGACACTGAATTTAATATTAATACAATACTTTAACTTAAGTGTAAAATAAGAGTTATTTTAAGGAAATTATTATCTGATAAACTAGTGTAGAATAGGAAACCACCAAGATTATGATAATCAATAATTATTGCTGCTAAAAATTTAAGACTATTGGTTTACTTGAATATAAGTTTGTTATATTAAGTTTTTAAATCCTTCTAAAGTAGAAGATAAATATTGGTTAACTAAAACTATTTATTTAATTACTAAAATTTTAACAAGAATATTGTTTAGTATAACAAAATACTCCAAAATTATTCCAGTCAACAACATCTCCTGAGTCTTAAATTTAGGCATGTTTCTTTTAGTTTCTTTGCTCATTCTCTTTTTCTTGAATAAAGCTTAAAATTTTAATTGTTTGGTGGCCTTATTGTTTGACATGGTTGTTCTTTCTATAACTCTCAATCCTTTTTGTATATTAACCCCTTAGTAACTTGTTTTTTTATAAAAGTGTTTTGAGTAACTTCATTTTTCTTCATCTTATTCCTAAGCACTACAGGTTATTTCAACAAAATATTTTTCAAATTTGTATTTTCCTAGAGCTCTACTTTCACTATTCATCCTCTCATTTATTTCACTGTCTTATTTTTCTTTTCTCTAAACATTTCCTTCACCTTAGGCATTGTAAGTGTTCAATTTGTCCCAAGAGTTTTTCCCTTTCAGTTTTTCCTCTAATTCCTATTCTTTTTTTATTCCATTTTGGTTTTCTCTTTCTTGGCCTATTGCAACAAGTCTAGGCCTTATGATATTGTTAAGATAGCTTCACATTAAAAGGAATAGAATTTTATTTAGAATAAAATGTACTTTTTTTCCACCTTATACTATACTATCTCTTTTTTTCATACTATTATTGTATACGTCCAATCGGCAAGAGGGCTATGTCTCTCTACGCATTCATTTGATTCGTCTATGATTGGTCTTTCATGTTTCTATGGCATATCTAGTGTTAGTCAAAGAGATAATATATTTCATCCTCTCCAAGAGCCACAACATTACAAATGTAAGAACTAGACTTGGTATCAGCTTGAACATCCTCACATAAGGGATGGTTGAGATGGATTGACCACAAAAGAAAATTTCAAAACTCACAGCAGATCAACCGTGTAAAGGCATAAAGAATAAAAAATCAAAATAGATTATACCGCATTTTGAGGCTAATGTGGCGCGCAGGGTTTACGTTATGGCTGCAGCATCAGCGCTGCCACTGCGCGCCTCGGCGTTCAATCCCTCCTCGCCATCCACAGGGCTATGCTCCTCTTCTTTCCAGCTCAATGCGGCGCTGGGACATCCATCTTCTTCTCCATCTCCTAGGGTTTCCCAGCAGCAAGAAATCCCGGCGCCAAGGCCCGACAGGGCGCGGTTCGAGAATCCCAAGTCCCCATGGCGACGTCCCGACAGGGTCTCCAGCATTCCTATGGATTTGCAGCCGATCCTGGAAGCTCTCGATGCCGTGAGGCCGGGAGATGATCTGGACGATGCTCTGGCCGGGCGAGTCGAGAATCTAGGGCCGGACAAGGCTGGCAGAGTGATGCAGTGCATGGACAAGCCGGAGCTCGTCCTCCTCTTCTTCGATTGGGCGCGATCGCGAGTCGGCCACAATGTCTTTAGCTGCAACTGCGCTCTCGACATGCTGTGCCGGCTCAATCGCCGTCAAGAAGCTCTGGCGCTCTTCCGCAACGCCATGGCCAGGATTTGTATGCCCAACAAGTTCACGTATGGCATCTTGATCCGGGGATTTTCCTCTGCCGGTGATTTGGACATCGCCATCCAGCTCCTCGAGGAGATGAAAAGCAGCGGGTTTGAGGGCAATGCCGTTGTCCACACCACTCTCATGAAGGGACTGTGTGATGCAGGTCGTGTGGTGGAAGCGCTGGAGCACTTTCGAGCCATGGCCAAGGACTGTGCTCCCGACGTGATGACTTACACCGCGCTCGTCCATGCGCTCTGCAAGGCTGGGAAGTTTGATGAAGCGCAAGGTATGCTCCGTGAGATGGTCGCCCAAGGCTGTGCTCCTGACACGGTGACTTTCAGCACACTGATCGATGGGCTCTGCAAGTTTGGGAGCGAAGAACAGGCTTTTCGGGTGCTCGAGGATGTTATACAGCGTGGGATGGGTAACAGCGATGCCGCTTTCGAGACCATCATCCAGAGGCTGTGCAACAAGTACAACTCTGTGGAGCTGGCCTCCAAAGTTTTGGGAGTGGTGATCGCGAAGGGCTTCACGCCGACTGTTCTAATGTTCAATCTCGTCATCAACGGGTTCTGCAAGGCCAAGGATCTCGACAGCGCGTACAAGCTCCTCGAGGTGATGATCGAGAAAGGCTGCGTGCCAAACGTCTTCACCTTCACGATCTTGATCACGGGACTTTGCAAGGCGAACAGGGTCGGAGAAGCTCAGCAGCTTCTGGAGAAGATGGTGATGGGGGGCTGCTCGCCAAACGTCGTGACTTACAGCACGGTTATAAACGGGCTTTGCAAGCAAGGTCAGGTTGACGACGCCTATGAGCTCTTCCAGCTTATGGAAAGAAGGAACTGTCCGCCCAACGTTGTCACGCACAACATTCTTATCGATGGGCTTTGCAAGGCCAAGCGGATCGAGGAGGCGCGCCAGCTTTACCACCGGATGAGAGAAACAGGCTGCGCACCGGATATCATCACCTACAACAGTCTGATAGATGGTTTGTGCAAGAGCTTCCAAGTCGACGAGGCATTCCAGCTTTTCCAGACGATCCCGGAGAGTGGTGTGTCCGCGGCCAACGCAGTCACTTACAGCACGCTGTTCCATGGTTACGCTGCGTTGGGCAGGATGGCGGACGCTTGCCGAATTTTTTCCATGCTGGTCGACAAGGGATTCTCACCCGACTTGGCAACGTACACCAGCTTGATTCTCGAGTACTGCAAGACGTCGAGAGCGGTGGAAGTCGTAGAGCTCGTGGAAGAAATGGCATCCAAAGGCTTTCCTCCCAGAGTCAATACGTTAAGCGCTGTTCTTGGGGGGCTCTTTGAAGGAAACCACACGGAGAGAGCCATACAACTCTTCGATTCTATGGCCGCTAGAGGCTGCACCGATGATGCTCTCATCTACAACTTAGTTGTCGAAGGCATGGCAAGAGCAAGCAAGCACGACAAGGCACTTGCTGTCCTGGAGCAAGTGATTGACAAGCGGGACCGTAAGTTTAATCCGAGCTCCTCAGCCGTGGACGCGCTGGTAGAATCACTGTGCCAGGTGGGAAAAACAGACGACGCCAAGCAGCTACTTCACAAAATGTCCGAGAGAGGCTTTGCAGCGGCAGTCTCGTCGTATAACCGGCTTCTCTCTGGACTGTCGAGGCTCCAAAGGTGGGACGAAGCTACTCAAGTCTTCGAGGCTATGGTTTCAGCTGGTCCGGCACCCGAGATCTCCACGGTTAACGTGGTCATCTCGTGGCTATGCAGTGCCGCAAAGGTGGACGACGCGTACGAGCTCGTCCAGAGAATGTCCAAGCTCGGCTGCTGTCCAGACATCGAGACTTGCAACACTCTCATCGGGGGCTACTGCAAGTCGGGCCGAGCCGACTTGGCTCGAAAGCTTTTGGAAGAAATGACCGAGGCGGGCCTAGAACCAAACGATACAACACATGATCTCTTGGAGTGTTAGTCTTCGTCCCTTAACACACTTGGATTCTCAAAATGACCGACAGCTCACAAGGAGCTGCTGAACTTAGTTCTCTTCGATTGGTAACGAGCTCAGGTAAAAACTCAAGAACTTTCTTTGAATGTATGATATTAACAAGTTTCTATGTGATCAGGCAGTAGCGTCTAGCTATGAACCATGACACGGTTATAGACTTCTTCGGGTTGAGGATCACGCGGGGAAAGTTTGGCTGGTTGACAGCGTTGGGAAAGCCTCGAGTCTCCAGCATATTTGGAGTAGACAGCCCCGCCTTTCCCTTGAATGCTCACTATCTGGTTACCGGAGTAGAACTGGACTCGTGGCTGGTTCGTCCACACTTCCATCTTTCTCGTGCTGACGGGATCTTCCAGGGTGAAGGCGTAGTGAATCCCTTCGTCGTCTCGAATGGTTTTATCCAAGGCGAAGGATAGTTAAATGTCATTTCCCTAAACAGAACCGTTAGATTAAAAAAATCAAAGATTTTGTGTTAAACACCAACAGGAACAAATAATACTAAATAAATTGCTACGCAGTAATTTTATTATTACTTATTAATTTAATTGATTAAATAAAGTTTATTATTATAAGCATGTTTGTAATTTATAAACACAAGATTAATTTTATTGATTAGATGATAGAATAAAAGAGAATATACTAGAAAGGGTTTAAGCAAGCTTATAGATTATAAACATGTTTATAAATTATAAATACAAAATTAATTTAAATGAATAACAACCGTTAGATGTAGAATATTTGAAAATATTCAAATATATTTTAAATATATCCACTCAGTCGTTTGCTTAAGCAAACCAAAAATTACTGTAAATAACAAGTATGTATATGGGATTTTAATATAAAAAAGGAGCCAACACGTCACTAAATATTGACGATCCAACACCGCTTTCTTTTGAGCGGAATATCCTACTTTAGTCAAAGGGGTTGTTTCCTGATATATGACTGACGGATGGTCAAAGACGTTGCTCACTGGGGAAGAACAAAACCCCTATTTCCATTTCTACTTCTCTCGCTTCTGGCGGGCGCTCGTGTTCCTCGCGATTGGATGCGCGCGCTCTCAAATTCGCCTCACATTTCGGTGGCGGGCGTGGATTTCCCTCCTGCGCGACGGCGGTTTCCCGAGGTTTGTGCTCGATCCTAGAGAGTCGAGTCGAGAGCTGCGAAATTCGTCTCCTGTTCCCCAGAGAACACGATTGTAGGGTTAGCAGTGCCTCCTGTGGCGGTCTAGGCAGCGAGATTTCCTCTGGCCGAGCGAGAGGCTACATGGTTTCACTGTTGAGTCGTTTTTTTTTCAATTTTTTTTTCCCGGAGCCTCGTCTGGTCTTTGTTTAAACGCTACACGTCTCCTTATGACATATTCATGGTCTTCAGGGGTCACTGTGGCAGCTTCCTGTGCTAGACGAATCTAAAAAACTGTTTTCTAGTCTAGTTTTTCTGCTCGGGTCTCCAGCTTTTCCTTTTTGAGCCGTGAGCTTTATCTCCGCAATATCCCTTCGTAACGCTCTTGAAGCTCTTCTTCTCTGCCCAAACCATCTCTTGTGTCTGAGAGCTCTAGTGTTTTTCTTTCTTTTCTAGCTGTGAGCGATGGCGTCGTCCGAGTTTCCGAATGGTTTTGCTCCTTTCACCGCCGAGCACCCGCCCGTGCGAGGCCAGGCTGCTGCGAACGGTGCTCCCGCCAGCGCTGCTGGCGGCATTCTGGAAGTGGAAGTTCACCAAGCTCGCAACCTCCACAACATTTGCATTTACGCCAAGCAGGACGTGTACGCCAAGCTATCGCTCAACGACGCCGCCGGCGGGAGCGGGCCAACAGCGTTCTACACGGAGGTGGTCGACAAAGGAGGTAAAGATCCAGTTTTCAACCAGAAGTTTTGCACTTCTCTCGTGCAAAGTGACCGTGCTTTGAGGTGCGAGGTGTGGATGGCCAGCAAGATGCGCGACTATCTCCAGGACCAGCTTCTGGGGGCAGTCACCATACCGCTGTCCACACTGGTCGGGAAAGACAAGGAGTTTAACGAGTTTGAGCTCTCGTCCACGGAGCTGTTCCACTCACCGGCAGGAAGCATCACCATGAGTCTCAAGTTTGAAGAGATCACGAAGCTCGGTGACAAGGCAAGCCCAGAAGAAAGCAACGATTGCGAAGTGACGGTGTGCAACTCCACCACCTCGAACCTCTCGGCCAGCAGCCTCGACGGCATAGACTCCAAGGTGGTGGCTTTTGCGGACCTTGCCGACGCTCGGGAGGACGAGGAGCTCGTCTCGGATTTCATCCAGAGGAAACAGAATGTGGAAGCGGCTGCCAAGGACGATGGTATCTACACAGGTCCTCCGTTTCTCAAGCTCGACTGCGCGGCTGTGAGGAAGAGTTTAGCAGCGGACGAGGCGCGGTCTGAAGATGAAGTTCCGGAGCTGGACGACGAGCAGTCGGTGGTAGAACAAGGGACGGATAAACTCTTCTCGGCTCCAGCAGCTAGCGGCGGTGAGAAGGAAAACATCTCCAAGCCGGGACTCAAGCAGCTAGACGTTCCGGCGAGCCCATCGTTGCTGGAATCGTCCGTCAGTAACGGCGTAACTCCCACTCCCAGCTCGAAGCCGAAGGAGGATCTCTCCATCAGCAAGGCGGACGAGGAGAAACATGGCAGAGCTGCGGAGCTCGGCGGTGGTGGAGAGGGCGGAGTAATGAGCGACGAGGAGGCCGCAAAGTTTGGTTTCGTGAGCAAGCCTGTGATCCAGCCGGAGCCGAGGATAATGCAGCAGGAGATCATGGACATGTACACCAGGAGCATGCAGCAATTCTCCGACGCTCTCGCAAAGATGCAGCTCCCGGTGGACGAGAACGGATTGATCAAGCTGGACGAGGCCGCCTCCTCGGAGACGACTAACAGCAAAGACACCAAGAACACGAATGACAACAACAACTCTAGCAGTGGCTCCGAGAGGAGTGGTGAGAGCAGCGGTGGAGGTAAGAGAAACTTGACTAGTTCTAACACGCCCAGGGTCTTCTATGGCAGTCGAGCTTTCTTCTAAACTTTCAGGGAGAGGTCAGATCAACACACTACTTTTTTCCTTTTTTTTTTGCTCTCCACAGAACGATACAAATCGAGCATCCAGTGCTAAAATCCTGTGTACAGTTCTTACAGACGTCTATGAAAAAAATATTTCCAGTGTAAGTCTCACAAGCTCTTCATTTCACGAGGATCGATCAACACCACTGTGACAACGAGTTGAAAAATTTGACGCTTCCACATGGTAGAATAATTTCCTTGTTCCAGAGATACCAGGCTTTGGGATTTTAAAACAATGAGGTTTCTTAAAGCGGCGTTCCCCGGATTCGAACACAAACCACCTCGTGGTTGGCGTTCCCGGGATTCGAACCCTCGACCTGGGGATAGAGATAAACCCCCAAGGTTTTCTTCTGGAGAGCGGGAGGGAGACGATGCCTAGATTAGTTGGCGCTAGGGCATTCTTCTCCTCCGCCGCGTCTTCCTCCTCGTCCCTGACATCGGCATCGGTGTCGCTATGGATTTCTCCAGGAATTGGTGGCAATGTGGGGCTTTTCCCGCGCCAGCACGCCCTATGGCTGTTCCGGCGAGGAATGTCCTCCAAGATCAGCATGAGCTTGCGCTCCGGCATCGTAGGGCTCCCTAATGTCGGCAAATCCACGCTCTTCAATGCTCTGGTACGTAAGCAGAACTTAAAATGTGTCTAGGCTGGTGGTTTCTTCTTGTTTTTGTTTCTTACTTGCCTAGTGCTAGCTATATCTTGGATTTCTTCTCTTTGTTTTTGTAGGTAGAGAATGCCAAAGCTCAGGCAGCGAATTTTCCCTTCTGCACGATTGAACCGAATGTTGGAATTGTGGCAGTTCCAGATACTCGCTTGAGCGTGCTCACCGATATAAGTAGCTCCAAGCAAACTGTGCCCGCTAGCATGGAGTTTGTGGACATTGCTGGGCTCGTCAAAGGTGCGAGTAAAGGTGAGGTAAGAGTTTTTTTTCTTCCACTTTCCAGTGACACAAACAACCAGTTCAATAACTATCCATTGTGTGATCGTGTAGGGCCTTGGTAACAAGTTTCTTCAGCACATACGTGAAGTTGACTCGATTGTCCAGGTAAGTTTCCTTTCTCCATTTTCTTTTTTTCGCTCTTAAATATTGTTTCTCTTTTTTCTCTTCATTTCCCTTTCACTGTGTGCTTTCGGCAGGTTGTGAGGTGTTTCGACGACTCGGACATCCTCCATGTCAATGGTAAAGTTGATCCGGAGGCAGACATTGACATTATCAACTTGGAGCTTGCATTTTCTGATATCGCACAGGTCTAACCTCAAGTTGCAAGTTTTGTTGTCATCTAAATGAGATTTTCTCGTCCAGATCGAGAAAAGATTGGAGAAGCTTAAAAAGGGGAGAGCTAAAGATCCACAAACCAAAGCCAAGGTTCGCATGGGTAAGACAATCCTATGAAGGATAACGCGGTTTTTCAGGAAGATATGGAAGCTGCTGCACTAGAGAGGATAAACGAGGCTTTACTGGCTGGAAAGGCCGCAAGAACCGTCGACCTTTCCAACGATGAGAGGAAACAAGTCCAACAGTTGTGTCTACTCACGATGAAACCCGTTATATATGCTGCCAACGTAGCTGAGACAGACCTCGGAGACCCTTCTAAAAACGAGTACGTTCAGAGGGTTGTGAAGACAGCTGCTGATCTCGGCTCCGAAGCAGTGGTTGTTTCTGCTCAAGTAATTCTCTCCTCCTCATGGAATTGTGTATGCATTATTTCATTGTTTTCGTGTGTACGTCTTTCGTATTCCATTTTTTAGGCTCTGATATTTTCTTTGCCTTTCAGGTAGAATCGGAGCTTGCGGAACTTGATGCCAAGGAGAGGAAAGAGTTTTTGGAGTCACTTGGAGCAGCTGAAGGTGGACTTGGATCTCTTGTCAAAGCAACTTACAGCCTTCTGGGGTTACGGACGTACTTCACCACCGGAGAAAAGGTTCATGTGCTAGTGGTATACGAACGAATCCTAAACCTTCTCACACTGATATGCAGGAGACCAAGGCATGGACGATCAAGTCAGGTACTTTTGACAGGCTTTTTTGCTTAACAAGACGGTGAGTGGAGAGCTCGTCATTGACACATCACAGGCATGACTGCGCCCCAAGCAGCGGGCGTAATACATTCGGATTTTGAGCGTGGATTCATAAGAGCTGAGACGGTAATATGGAGGAAAGGATTCGTTTCCTCAAATCTTGAAGTTTTGCGTTCTCCCGTGCAGGTTGCCTACAAAGATTTCGTATCGGTTGGCTCGCTACAGGCCGCGAGAGAGAAGGGACTGGTGAGCCTTGCTTGCTTTTTCTTTTTGCCACAGTTCTGACCCGCTGAATTTTCATTGTGCTAATTGCACAGCTAAGATCAGAAGGCAAAGACTACGTTGTACAGGAAGGCGACGTGATGCTCTTTCGTTTCAACGTGTGAGGTACTATTCTCCCTCAGTCTAGAGGAGTAGACATCCGTCAATTCCTTCTCTCTTTTTTTCCAGGAATGCTGCTCAATCGAAGGCAGTCATACTCATCATGTGTACCTTGGTCTGATAGTAACATCTCGTTGGTGGGCACTTTTTTCACGTAGTTATGAAGCAAAAAACAGTGGTAACCATCGAGAGGATGTAACCTCGTCTCTCTTTTTTTTTCAGATCTTACAGAGGAACAATGCGGAAGAAATTAAAGGAAAACGGTTAAAGATACAGCAGTTCAGCCGACAGGCTGAGAAAAAAATTTCAGGGAAAAAAATCACGGAAAAGAAAAAGAAAAAATTAATCTTCGAGTGGCGGCCGGTGGTCAGGGAAAAATAATCAACAAGAAAGAAAGAAGGAAACGAGATTAGAGCAGTCAGCCTGGAGGTTGCTGTCGATCTGAGACGAGCGTGAGGATCGCATTGGCGAGATTGTTGACGGCCGCGATGAGTCCTTCCATGCCTTGGCGGCTGATCTCGGTCTTGGCCTCTTCCAAGCCGAGCTTGCGTTCCTCGAGTCCAAGCAAGTCCCTGTGACGCTTATCCTTTTTCTCTTCGCAGGCTAGCAGCGTTTGCGAGAGCTCGTAGGCGCTCTTTGACACCGTCGGGGCCAAGCCTTGTTCTCGGGAAACTTTGCGACGCTTCCCCGACGGCGATCGCTCCATTTCGCTGCCTTCGCTCTCGGTGCTCTTCGAAACCTCTGGAGGAGGGAAAAGAAGAAAACCAAAGTGGTGGAGGTCAAACAATGTTTAGCGTTCATCATGCAAAGAAAATTCCAAGCAAAAAGCATAAGATGCAAAAAGAGATACCTGTAGCTTGTTGGAGTGGAACTCCAGCAGCAGCACTACTTGGTCCAGGCAAGTGAACTTGAGAAAAAATATGTTGTTGTTGATGGTGATGTTGCTGGTGTTGGTGGAGTTGATGGATTTGTTGCTGTTGTTGTTGGGGGTGAAGGGGAATCTGCTGCGGGAACGGCTGCTGAACCTGCTGCTGAACCTGAACCTGAGCCTGAGCCTGCTGCTGCAGCAGAGGCCGTGGTCTCTTGTCCACAACTTCGTGAAGGGCCTCGTAAACCTGGATGATCATGTTTGACGGCAGCCCTCGCTCTTTCCTCTCGTGCTTCTCCAGCTGCCAGTAGCTCTTTTGATTCACCACGGGAGCAGCCCCAGCAGCAGCAGCAGCAGCAGCCGAAGAGGATGATCCGGCCATCACTTTGGACTCAAACTCCCTCACCTTCTTGTAGTCCCGGAGAAGATTGTCCCACTTGTCGTTGCACTGGTTCTGGCTGCGCTGGCACCCTTTCCTCCAGCAGAAGTTCTCCACCCATTTCCACCGGAACTCGGCCGATTTGCCTTTCTCCTTGTCCCCGCCCTTGAGCCGCCTCTCGTCGTCCATCTTCTTGGCCTGGATGAGGATCATCGTCTCCTGGAGCGTCCAGTTGCCCTTCCTGTATTCCCGGCTTCCCCCGCCTCCACCCCGGCTGCTGTCCAAGGCCTCGAGTTGCTGCTGCTGCTGCTGCTGCTGTTGCGGCTGCTGTTGTTCGATCTCAAGTGTTGGCGGCGGCGGTGGCGTTGCTGCTGCTGCTGCCCCTGATGCTGGTGATGTCAATCCTGCTGAGGACGATGATGCTGCTGCAACCACAAGTGGGACAATTGCACTGGCGGTGCCTTGATCAGCCATGCATAAGTCCTCCCCACCCCACCCCACCAAAAGAATGCTTTTGCTGATCCTAGTGATGCTACTGACTTTTTGAGTGTGTACTACTGCTGCTGCTACCTATGGAGCATTTGCGTTGAGGGGAGGCTGACCATGCCACAAATCCAATTTCCCCTTGCTTTCACGATCCCACCCACATGAATCAATGATGATGCTGATCTTCCAGCTGAATCCCTTGAATCCAACCCACAGGAGAAGAATCATTTGAGAAATGAATGCGTGTTGTCTCTTCTTGTGCTTCTTCTTCTTCCCAATCATCAATCAAGTGGCTGGTGTTGGCTTTTTCGGTTCTGTTCTTGAGATAGCAGCGGAATTGATAGATCACCAGCAGCAGCCCAACGAACCCAAAACCATTTCCCGGCCAGCCAGCAAGCCATCCATCAGCAGCAGCAGCAGCAGCAGCCGCGAAAAGCAATATAAAGACTCAAGAAAAAAACTATGCCCAGGGAAAATAAAAACCAGTGTGTGTGCAAGGTTTGACACTTCCGCTTCTCCTTCCCTCTTCTCCTTTTTGATTCTTTTCCTTTGAACGGCCTTTGGCTTTGCTTATTGGTGCACCTAATGAATGAGAGAAAGGAGAAAGAACAAGAACAAAAGGAGAAGAACAAGGAGATGCCAACAACTATACTACTCTAGAAATGCAGTCCACCACCACCACCACCTCCACCACCACAGTGTGTGTCCATGGTACTACAAAAGGCCTGCCCACCACTGCCATCTTTGCTGTTTTCATACAAAAATCATCAAGCACTTCCCTGGGCAAGGAGAAGCAAGAAAACAAAAAAATATAAATGTCAAGCAAGGAGAAAACGAAAAGACACCACCACTGCTGCTGCTCCAGCTGCCGCCCCTTCCCCTCAAGGTTTGTGCTTCTCAGTGTGCTCTGTTCCTCCACCTGAGCATACCCCTCTTTTGCTTTAGCTCCTCCCCTCCCTGCTGCACCACCAAGCCTGGATCCCATCTTCCCATATCAAGTGTGTGCTGGAAAGGGAAGAAAGAAGAGGGGGGAGCTTGTTCTCACACAACTGGCTAGCACTCTTCCTGGAAGATTGGATTGGGAATGATCGTGAAATGAGGATTTTCAAATGCAGCTTCTGATTGATCAAGAGAAGGGATAGATAGGCCCAGGCTGTGAGAAATCCCTCCCCCCCATTTTACTATCCTCACTACCTAGGTAAGTAGCTGAATGTTCAGCCCTGTCCCTGTAAGAATTTATTTAAAGTTTTTTAAGTAGATAGCTGAAAGGGACTAAAAGAGCTCAAAGGAGAGAGCTCCAGCCAGCCATCCAACAACAACACCATCACCACAACAGCAGAAGGAACCAGAGCACCACCACCAGTCAAGTCAGTTATCTCAACCCCTCTCCAAATCCACTCCACCATCATTCACCATCATCATCATCAACTTGAGCATCATAGAGCTCTAGAGGCACAGAAGCATCCAAGGCATATTCATACTTTCTGCCAGCTCAAATGACCATCCATATGCCAGTTCTCACTTCTGCGTCTTCAGTGGAAATGCAAAATCCAGTTGGTAGAAATTGATGTGTGGCTGAAAGTTCTTCATTTTGTTTTCACTCTCCGTGTTGTAACCTATTGCTCTTTGACCGATACCTCATGATCATAGTCATGAACCACATGCACATGGCCTCTCTCTTTTAAAACTATCAACATCTCCATTCTTTCCTTGTGCTAAGAACAAATAGTTGTGTTAATTGCTAGAAAATCCATTGTCTAATCCCATGACTAAACAATATCTCTATCTACCATGACAACTTAATATGAACCGAAACGTGAAAAGCATTTGTGCAATGCTCTTTCTTGAGAGGTTGACAAATCACGAACTCATTTAATGTTGTGCCCCTACCAACCTCGTCTTCTAGATAAGTTGCTAATGCGAACATAATCATTGTTAGTGATGGAATTAGCATGGGCATTCCGATGCATGGTTATCATCAAGCACGGCGAATCTAGGCCAGCGTGACTAGATTTTGCCGGGTGGCGAGAATCCCGCGCAATTCAACCTAGGCCACCTTTCCATTTTCAGAGTAGGAGTAAAAGAAATGGTCATCTACTTATAGTAATCCTCTAAGGCAAAATTAATAGTAAACATGAGAAACTAGGGCAACTGCTTGTACTTGAAACAAGGGGCGAGCCAGCAAGCATTTGCTCTTTGTTGCATGCATTTTGGTTTTCTAACTCAGTTTTTACTCTCTTTTATTTTCCATGTGCACCACAAATGTTGAATAATGCTACTGATCATGTGTTGATAATCATTGCGCTCCGACAAAGGGATTGATCCCCCCTTTCTCGATAAACAACAACGCAAAAGCAAAGCCCTTGAAACAAGGTGGCAGGCGAATATTCGGGCCCTTTTGCGAGCCTCCAGCGTCGCAGCAAAGTGGAATGTCCTGCTGCCCTGCCGTGCAGACAACAAACAACAAACTCGTTGTCAACTTTGGAGCCAGAGCTTGAAGTGAAAACATCCAAAGTCTTGTTTTTAATGAGGCCACCACCACCCACAGTAATCATGGAGCAATTCCAGGATCTGTGGTACGCCCGGTTGCACGGAATAATCAAATCCTTGAGAGATTCCACTAAACCAAAACTTAAGGATTCGTGATCATGCACCACCACAAGATACTTGTTTCATAGTGGCGAGAATGCGACTTTGTTTTGCTGCTGCTGTTCAAGGAAACATGGGGGTGATGCTCGTACACAGAGATCGTACGCCAGGATCAATCTGGCCGCTGTCAACCTCTGGGTTCCCCACATTTTATAGCACCATCGCTCTGTTTCGCTGCAGAAAGGTCGGTAGTCTGGCTATTTATCTTCCAGGGAAAACGCACTACTTTTTGACTCTTCAGTCAAATCCAGGTCCAGAAACCTTTGAAATCAGGAATCATATAGTTGATTTCTTTAACGATGATACGTTTTGTCAAACAGCATTATGGAGACTACTGTGAACGCGCTTAGCCGGATTTTCTATGGAATGGAAGAGCTCTAGCTTCAATGTCCGTAACGCGACACACAGGCTCCAAACAGCTCAACATCTCAACAGGATATATCAGAGCTGCGAGCACTGCAAGGCTTTCAAAGACCGGCCCACGACCAAAAACACCCAACCAAAGTGTCACATCCCCTTACACAAACGCACAGCTAATTTCTCCTCTTTTGGTCTTCACGCAGCAAACACCGACGAACGATCCATCCACAGATTATATCATATAAATTCCTGAAATATTTTATGTATATATACTTGGAGCGAAGCTGTCATGAAAGAAAACTCTTGCTCCTCTACTGAAGAAGTGTTTGGACACCACCCATAAAAGAGTTGTCTGTGTCGCTATTTCTGACCCCTTCAAAAAAGATGACTGCTCCACTCAATTCACTCCACCAGCACTCTTCAAACACATACAGGAAAAAAGAGGCCACAAAAAAAAAGATATCAAAGTTTCAAGGACCCTGTTCTGTTTGTATTTTATAAACATATATATACAGATTTTTCAAACTGACAGTGTATAATCTGTACTGCTAGTCAAGAAAAGGAGAAAGCTCTTATAGGATTTCACGGCGAAAAACTAACGAACAGCCAGGAACATTCATAGCTTGTCTTGGGCAATCACATTGAATCTGGAAAAGTGACCCCTCTTGCATGGAGTAAAAACCATGTCAATAAGTAAGAATGATCTTGGGATCAAAGGAATAGACCACGCCCTCGGCGTACGTCTATACGACACTGGCTATTGATCGATCCATTGATAGCTATGCCATACAGCGTATATCACGAGGATTTCTCGGTCAAACTGGCGTATATGCATGGGTAGTATCTCTAAACGTAATTTGCTATCACGGCTAGTTGGTCAGAAAATGCGTGAAAGCGATTTAAAAGGGTCTAACGAAAATATGGCGCGGAGCTGTCCAAAATTTAAAATAGTACGAGCGTACGGAACTAGCGTTGCTAGTTTAGGGTTGCCGCCTTTCCACCCAGGTGGAGCTCGCGTTCTTTCTCGCGATCGCGGCGATGAGATGCTTGCCCGGGGTAAGTTCGCGCACGCAAGGAAATGTGGGTCGTAAAGCTGCCGGATTTCGTAGGGATGGAGCAAATCGATCGCATAGCGAGGATCTTTAGGGGAATGGAGCTCAACGAGGCGGCGTTCAGGCGGAAGTATGCCATCGCCCCCGGAGAGCCGATAAAGAGTTTGTTTGACGAGGAAAGTGTCCGGCTTGGCGCTGCCAGGGCTCTAGAGGTTCGTCTCTTCTTCTTTGTCTTCGTTTTTCACGTCTAGCTCTCTTTCTTTTCTTTCTTCGTAGGAATACCAGGGAAACCTAGAAACGATCCAAGCCAGGGGCTACAAGCCTGTGATACGTGAGGTTCTCCTTTTGAAGAGGTGCGTCGAGAACAAGGTGGCGCGTGTCGCTGCTCCGAGACCACTCTTGCAACAAGCGTCCTGGCCGCTGACTCGAATCGGGAAAAAGAGGAAGCGAGTTGCTCCTTTGACGAGATGCTCTCGATTCAAGCCACGGCTGGGCGAGGAGGAGGCCGAGCAGGATGCTGAAAACTTGGACGCCTCGCATCAAGCGCACAGGAACGTCCAGGAGAACATTCCCATGCTCGCTTTGCCTTCGACTTCTGCCGAAGAGCATCACAAAGACGGGCAGGAAAGCTTTGCAAACTTTGCGTCAACTTCTATGCTACAGGATGAGGAGTTGCTGGAGCTCGGGGACTTACGGGATCTTGGGGGCTTACAGGAGTTTCAAGAGCTGAAAGAGCTCGAGGATACTTGTGATATGGAACAGGAGTCTTGTGATACTGGCTTTCCACCAGGATTTCCACCACCAGTTCCGATTCGTCAAGCTTACGAGTGGAAGATAGTTGCCGAAGATGTTCCAGAGAGCTGCGAGCTATCGGATCTAAAGGCACTGGTTCATGGCAGATTTGAGGCTGTTCCGGAAGAGGCTGAGCTCGTCATGGTTTCGCGCGACGGGAATGCTGCAAAGTTTAAGTTCGTATCAGGGGTGGTGGCTGAGCTCTTCTTCGAGGCTTGCATGTTGAGCCCGCCTTACGTCAAGGAGAAGGAGCTCGATATTCGAAGGCTTTACTCGCCTATGGAAATTCTCTCCATGGACTTTGTGTCTCAGAGATGCGGAGATTTGCTCGTATACTTTCGGGGACCGAGCAAAGACTGGACGGAGAATACCCTCAAGCAACACTTCAAGAAAATCTTGCCGGAAGAGGAAGTTGGCGAGATCATCGAGTCGATGGATATTTCTCCCGAGGGGACGGATGCACTTTTGGGTATGGGGTCGGAGGTCGCGGCAGATTTGATATTCTACAGGTGTGGTAAAAACAGGTCTCTGGACTCCATCTCCATGGGTTCCTTCCTCTGTCGCAGCAACACAGCGCCGAGAGATAAAGTTGAGATCGTATGTTCTCCCGGGTCCGATAATGTTACTCCTCAACTCGGGACTGCTGAAGGACTTCCTCAAGAAAGCAAAACGTTTTCCGCCAAGGACTGCAATGGTCGGACTAACACTGGAGAACTCACGCTGGAGTCGCTCGACAAGACGAGCACTCACGCTACTCGCCTGGAGAGACCGAAGTCTTACAGAACACTCGCAAGACTATCGAACGTGAAACTAATGGTGGTCAATCTGCTCGCAGAAGATGATATTGGAAGCGTGGAAATGTTCTTCCAGTGCCTCCTCCGAGAGATCAAACCGGACGAGAGCTGCAAGGTTTGTATCTCCCGGTGGCCCAACGCTGTTGTGCACTGCAGCTCCGAGGCTGCCGCGGATGCCATCATGGACGTCTACGTTGACGAGCCGGACAAGTTCCTTCTCGGAGGCTTGCCGCTTCGAATCTTCCGACACGCCGATTACTGCCGACCGGGTGCTGTAAATAAAACCAGTGGCGTTGTGAACGACGAGAAGACGGATGCAATCAGAGTGTCCGGCCTTCCCAAGCTTCCAGGAGATTTAGTCAAGGGAGCTTTGTGCGAGTTGCTGGACAGGACGTTTGCATCGAACAGCTCGGTCAGAGAATACGGCAAGGAGCTGCTGAAGAAGTTTTTTCCGACGGGCGACAAAGCCTTCATCAACTTCTACTCGGTTGCTGCTACGGAAGCGGTGCTTGCGCTGGAGCATCCTATCAAACTTGGTGGTACAGCTCTCAGCTTTGCGCGTAAGAAGGATTTGAGCTTTAGGCAGCAGGGACAAACGGAGAGAAACCGTAGTGGTCATGGAGCAAGTCCAAAGCAGGAGGGATACTCGAGCTCCAGAGAACATCCTACTATCGACCGCAGGCGGCTGGAGTCCGCTCGTTGGGAAGGAGAGCGTTCTTTCGGCGAGATGCAGCGTCACTCTATGCGGCGAGAGTGCTCAACTGAGGGGGAAAGAGATCGTTCTTTCGGCAAGATGCAGCGTCACTCTATGCGGCGGGAAAGAGAGTGCTCAACTGAGGTGGAGCGTCACTCAAGAGAGTGCTCAACCGAGGAGCGACATCTTTGTTCCATACGTCGGGAGAGAGGCCATTCTCTGCGAGAAAGAGATGAGTCCATCGACGAGAGGCGGTGTCAACCAGGCTCCAGGCGCCGGAAGAGAGACAATGACATGGAAAGTGATCACTGGCATCGGCGGAAGAGTGACGATGGCATGCAAGGAGATCATCTCAATTGGGAAAGAGATCCTTTTGCGGATGATCTGTGGAGGCGACGGCAGGTCGAGTACCATTCTGGATACAAGGACGAACGTCACGAGAGGTACATTTACTTTGACAGAGCCGAGCGCGATTACTACTATTCTAGCACCGTGATCGACAGAGATGATCGCGGATGCAGCAGGAAGCGCTATGTGGAGTACGCTGGCCACGATCATCGCGAGTGGAGTAGCGAGGCTTGGTTTTCACCAGATCCTACTTGGTAGGCTTATCTAACGTTTTCCTGCAATCGAATTTTAAACATAGAGGAATATGCTTAACAGAATCTAGAGCGAATATCTCAGGAATCCTTCACCCTCACGAATATTCTTAGCGCGATCTCAGCCGTCCCTCTTCATTGCACGTGTCTGGACTAAGATGGCTTGGCGCTGGAAGCCGAAGAGCGCGCTTCTTCTCCTTGAATCGATCATCTTCTCCTTGAAATCGATCATCTTCTCCTTGAAATCGATCATCTTCTCCTTGAAATCGACGATTCTACCAGCTCCGGCCATTCCCTGCATGTTTTCTTTGTGCCGATGTCCATACGTTCTTTCGGCCGATCATTCTTTCTCTCGAAATATTTCTCAACCGGGGGTTTGTCCGTCCGTGTGTTCTTTCGGCCAATGCTTCTTTCTCTCAAAATATTTCTCAATCGGCCGTTCCGGCTTTCTTTCGGTCGATCCTTCTTTCTCTCGATCCGGCTTTGTTCTTCCGTGCGTTCTTTCCATCGATCTTGAATTCTCTCGAAATATTTCTCAATCGGCCGATCCAGGTTTGTCGATCGAACATTTATTCGCGTGTGCGTGTGGTCGTATTTCCAGTCGTTGGATCGATCATTCTTCATAGGTTATCAACTCGCTTCCGTCGTTCTTATTTTCTCACAGGGCTTATATCTCGATCACTGATGTATGGTGTCTTCTTTTCTTGTTTGACATTTGCGCTGCGTTGACATGACCTCACAGCATCTACAGGAGGGAATACGCGAGCCAGTGATGGTAGGAAGTTTCGAGAGAGACTGAAAGGAGTTGGATGACTTGTGCCAGGTGTGTTTTGGCTTTTCCACTTTGACATCTTTTTGGCTGCCTTTTACGCATGCAGAATTAAGTTCGTCAGCTCGGAAGAATATAAAGAACTTCGGCAAAATGATCAAGGCTTGGTTGAAAAGGAAGCCAAAGGTATATTACATTGTAGCATATGTTGATAATCGTGATGTAGTGCTTACAGGCTGCCTCTGGGCCTGGGGAGAAAATTCGACTGGACAAGGGCCTGTGACCCGTGACTTGTAAATACGTTGGAACCACTTTCGTTTCTAATCGAGACCACAGGATCAAGATGGGATAAAGTTTACCACGCTCCAGCGAAATGACATCCAGGAGGAGACGCTGCAAGAGTTGTGCGTGCTATGCCACTTAGGGACCCGGAGCTCCGGCTGCTAGGGTGGGGCATCAGGTGAAGACTACCGTGCAAAGGCTCCGAAAGGAGCATCTATTCAGTGACGACTGTTGCCTCACCTTTGCAACTGTGAACGGGAGTCTAGCGGGCTACGTGTTCCACAGAAGCTTTCGCTTCGCAGGTATTTGCCTCGATTCTCCTTTCGATTCAAATCTATAATGTGGTTTTCACCAGGCGGCCCAGCCCTCTGGATAACGCAACTGGTGGTGTCTTCCAATCACCGTAACAAGAAGATTGCGATAAGACTCATGAAGGTGAGTTCTTAACTTCTTATGATTGGAGAGTGGAGTGGGATTTACGGTTGTCCTTGTTTTCTTGTCTTGCAGAATGCAATGGGTGCTATCCCTGCGGCTGTGGGGCTTATCACAAGCCATCCATTTGCGGTTCGCTCGCTAGAAAGGGCGACAGGGAAGCGTGTTTCTCCAGATATGGTCGTCGTGTATGGCCCAGCGATGATGAAGGCTTCTGGAGTGCCTTACCTGCAAGGCCTGCCGATGGCTTCGTGGACACCCAATTCTTTGCGGATCACAGCGAGGTGCTCGACTTGCTAGCCAAGATGCCGGACTGGAGTTTAGGAGCACTGGAAGAGGGAAAGGAGTTCGTGGCGGTCGTCTTACCGTTTGAAAAGTAAAGGGATGTGTAGCTTTAGGGCTTTCATGTCCATGGAGTTTCGTCTTGCGTCGACTCTCTCTGACGAGCTCGCGGTGCAGTGCGCGAAGCTCTTCTCCACGTCGTATGGAGTTTGGGGAAGAGGAGCGCCGCCGGATCGTGTTGGTAAGCGAGCCAAGATGAGCGTCTCATGGATGCGCAGGGAGATCTTCTTCGACGACCGCTGCTTTGTTTCTCTGGCGCTCCTAGAGAACAAGGTGATTGGGCAAGCGTTTTGCCGGCGTTTTTGGTATGGGCCTCTTCAAGGTGTGTCATCCTTTTCTTCTCCATTGTTTCTTTCATTTAGTTTGTTTCTTTTTGCTTAATTGAAACAGGGGACGTGGTGTGGATTATACAACTTGTCGTAAATCCTTTGTTTCGACACCAAGGAGTGGCAACCAAGCTGATCAAGGCGAGTCTTCGTTTTTCTATTCTCCTTTATCCAAGCTTTTGTTCTGTAGCGTGCGCTGGATGGGCCATCGGATGTCGCTGCCGGGCTTGTGTCCAGTCATCCATACGCGATTCGTGCACTGGAATCGGCCACGAACACACGAGTTGATCCAAGCTTTCTCACACAACATGCTGTGGGCATCATCCGTTCATCGCAAGTAAAAACACCCCTTGAAATGTTACTCTCTTTTATTTCTCACGCATCTCCTTGTACAGGTACCTTACATCCACAAGCGAGAAATTACCGGCTTCAGGATAAACACGGAATTCTTCGTAGATCACACTGAAGTGAATGCCATACGCGACGGCGACCCGGATTGGAAGCTCGGCTCCCTTGAAGACGGGGAGGAAATCGTTGGTATTTGTGCGCCATTGAATCTCAAGTAGAGTGGAATGAATCGCCTCTTATTGATCAAGACAAGGAATAGTAGACAGAGTAGTTACTACGAATTTCCAGTTTCAGCAGTGGACATGGAAGGCGAGCTGAAACAAGTAGAGCAGAATGACGAACACGATGGTGTGCGTGATAACGGAAGCGACGCTCGTACGACCATTGGTGAATTCCACCGCCCTCTCCGTGCCGGGGATTTGCAGCAGCAGCCCTGGTGACAAGATCAAAAAGAGAATTGCTCCAATTATCAGCGACACAACATCCGCCATTGCCAAAAATTTGTGAACAGCTCTCAAAAGGCTACAGGCTTATAGTCTGGTGCTGCTTCATGGCATCGACAAGTGTCCATCGTGCTGGCAAGTTATGTTCAAGGGAGTAAATTGATCACAAGTATCTAAAAATTCTTAACGTTTTTATTACTTATTTTTCTATTATTCTTAATAGAAATGTGCATCTCAATTAGCCTAACAGCTTTAGCTTATAGTGGTTTATTAAAATCCCATTACATTAATATTAGTATATAGCATTGTTATTGTAATCTTGGACTTTATATTATCCCTTCCTTTTGGAATAATAGAAAACTATTAAGGTTCTTTGTAGATGGGCCAGAATCTGGAGGAACATTAGAAAGAGGTATTGATGGATTTGTAAATGGTATTAGTTGTTCCTGATCCTTTTGTATGAAGTGTTTCAATTGTTGCATATGCATAAATTTTGGAGGATTGGTCTGTTGGACGTTATGCTAAACCTCATAAACTTGTGGTCACACTTGCTACAAGACCTGATATGGTCCTTTTCACTGAGCAAGTCGCCCCTTAGATAAACCATGTACCGTAAGATGAGGAAAACATACTAACACTAAATTATCCATTTTGTGACATATGCATACTGAAGAGAAACCATCCTAATCTAAATGCTGAAAGTTAATGTACTTTGTGATCATCCTGTAAGGAACCAACTCCCCGAGGTGCCGTAAGCTAAAGGATCCCTGAAAGCTTGACCAAAATGACAAAGAGTTCATCGGATGGGACCGAGTCGGAGATCGAGTCCAAGACCGACTCTGAGACTGAGTTCGAGATAGAGTCCGGGATCGAGTTCGAGGCCAAATCGAAGGCCGAGTTCAAGATCGAGTTCGAGACAGAGTCCAAGATCCGAATCGGGTCCGAGACCGAGTTCGAGGTCGAGTCCGAAGTCGAGTCCAAGATCGAGTCCGAGATTGAGTCTGAGATTGAGTCCGAGACGGAGTCCGAAGTCAGATCTGAGATCGGGTCCGAGATCGAGATCGAGTCCAAGACTAAGTCCGAGCACTAATACGGGTCAAGGGGTGAAAGCCCAAAGCGTGTGTCTCCCCGGGGGGGGGGGG